AGCTAACTTTGATGTTCTAAAGAATTCTTCAGTAGATAACTTATTTAGAGGAAAATTAATATATTTCCAAATCAGAGCTAGGGAGTTACAGATACTTCAAATGGGACGGGGAAGAGAGGGAGACTCCACCTTTATTTCCTACCTAGTTGTAATCCAGGTGAAAAGAAAATTGTGGGAAAAGATGAGAAGTTTATCAAAGGAAAACACTGAGCTCATATTTCAATCAAAAAAAGAAGATAATCAGGGTTTAATACCTGAAGAAATTTTATAGCTATCATAGAGAGCTATACATTTTTATTATTGCTAACAATTAATCTCAAGTTGAAAAGAAAGAATTTCTTATCATTGTAGTTGAGAACTAAATATTTTTAAATTTAAAGACCATGATTAAGACTTTTGTCAAATAAAAACACTTCTTTATGAAGAATCTCTAGAAGAATAAATACAAAGAGAAAGAAAAAAATAGAAAAATGAGAAATTTACATTGAGCAAAAATTGCTTTTTTATACAAAGGTAAATAAAATGCATGCGTTTCATAAGGAGAAAAACAAAGTAATATCCAAAAAAATAAAACCTCTTCACTGTCATTATTAAGCTGAAAAAGACAAATTTGAGAATAGTGAAGCATAAAAAATAATGACAGAACTCAGTGGCCAGTTATGAAATGGCACTAATCCTAAAGGAATGTCTGGAAAAATGTTTCCAGTGGAAGCTGGTGAATGGCTGTACCCGTAGTGAAAATGAAAGTAGGAAGCATCTGAGGGAACATTCTGCTGGCCAGAACAAATGATGAAAGCTGAGCGGCCACACTCAGTGCCAGTTCTGGGACAGTCTGGAGAGAGGGAAAGCCAAGGTGGAGCCCAAGTGGGTAGGAAAAATACACCAAAATTCCAAGTTATAAAAAACAAAAACTGAAAGGTCATTTTGGTATCCCTTATTCTTTAGTTGATGGGTATCATTGTTGAATATTAACATAATACTTAGGAAGAACATATCTTGGATGATGTGACCAAAACCAAATTGAGAATGGATTGTTTTAAAATTACTTTGCACTTCATTTACTAAAATAGTGTTTTCATAGAGCTTTTTTGCTAAGCATGGGGCTACATTTTTGGGATAGAAAGTTGAAAAGGAAGTCAGGATGAGAAACCATTTTAAGGTTAGACAAGACCAGCATCAAATAATACAAAGAAATAAGACCAAATTTAGAAGTGTTCATTGGATTTGAGAAGTAGAGTATGGTGGGTAATTTTAGCAGGAGCAGCTTTAGTGAATGGTAGGGACAGAAAGAAAGTTGTGGTGAAATAATAATTTAGTGGTAGGTTTATATTTAAAAAGTCGTGTATTTAACTTTTCTGTGTTCCTGATTTAAAGCAAAGAAAGAAAATATGGCAGAAGCTAGAGAAGATATAAGATTCAGGTTCTGTGCTTATATTATCATCATGGTTTTTAAAATTTTATTATACTTTAAGTTCTGGGGTACAGGTACAGAACGTACAGGTTTGTTACATAGGTATGCACGTGCTGTGGTGGTTAGCTGCACCCCATCAACCCATCATCTACATCAAGTATTTCTCCTAATGCTGTCCCTCTACTAGTCCCCCATCCTCAGACAGGCCCTGTTGTATGATTACGCAGCCAACGAAACGTGAAAAAAAGCTCATCATAACTGGTCATTAGAGAAATGCAAATCAAAACCACATTGAGATACTGTCTCATAACAGTTAGAATGGTGATCATTTAAAAAGTCAGGAAACAACAGATGCTGGAGAAGATGTGCAGAAATAGGAATGCTGTTGGTGGGAGTGTAAATTAGTTCAACCACTGTGGAACACAATGTGGTGATTCCTCAAGGCTCTAGAACCAGAAATACCAATTGACCCAGCAATCCCATTACTGGGTATATATCCAAAGGATTATATATCATTCTATTATAAAGATAGAATATTGCACTGTTCACAGTAGCAAAGACTTGGAACCAACCCAAATGCCCATCAATGATAGACTGGATAAAGAAAATGTGGGACATATACACCATGGAATACTTCACAGCCATAAAAAAAGATGAGTTCATGTTATTTGCAGGGACATGGATGAAGCCGGAAATCACCATTCTCAGCAAAGTAACAAAATAACAGAAAACCAAGCACCACATCTTCTCACTTATAGCTGGGAGTTCAAATAAGAGAACACATCGTGTTTATTATTATAATAATTTAAGTTCTGGAGTACATATGCAGATTGTGCAGGATCGTTACATAGGTATACACATGCTATGATGGTTTGCTGCATCCATAAGCTCGTCATCTACATTAGGTATTTCTCTTAATGTTATCCCACCCCAGTTACCTCACCCACCTGCTCCATCCTCTAGCTTTCCCACCCCTCAACAGGCCCCAGTGTGTGATGTTTCCCTGCCTATGTCCATATGTTCTCATTGTTCAACAGCAACTTATGAGTGAGAACATGCCATGTTTGGTTGTCTGTTCTTGTGTCAATTTGCTGAGAATGATAGTTTCCAGCTTCATCCAGGTCCCTGCAAAGGACATGAACTCATCATTTTTATAGCTGCATAGTATTCCATGGTGTATATACACCACATTTTCTTTATCCAGTCTATCCTTGATGGGCATTTGGCTTGGTTCCAAGTCTTTGCTATTGTAAACAGTGCCACAGTGAACATATGTGTGTGTGCATGTGTTGTTGTAATAGAATGGTATATAATCCTTTGAGTATATACCTAGTAATGGGATTGCTGGGTCAAATGGTATTTCTATTTCTAGATCCTTCAGTAATCGCCACACTGTCTTTCATAATGATTGAATTAATTTATACTCCCACCAACAGTGGAAAAGGATTCCTATTTCTCCACATCCTCTCCAACATCTGTTGTCTTCTGATTTTTTAATGATCCCCATTCTAACTGGCATGACGTGGTAGATCAATGAAAAATTGATTTGCATTCCTTTAATGACCAGTGATGATTAGCATTTTCTCTTGTTTGTTGGCTGCATAAATGTCTTCTTTTGAAAAGTGCCTGTTCATATACTTTGCCCTTATTATAATGGGGTCGTTTGTTTCTTTTTTGTAAATTTGTTTAAGTTCTTTGTAGATTTTGGATATTAGTTCTTTGTTAGATGGGTAGATTGCAAAAATTTTTTCCCATTCTGTTGGTTGCTGGTTCACACTAAAGATAGTTTCTTTTGCTGTGCAGAAGCTCTTAAGTTTAATTAGATCCCACTTATCTATTTTTACTTTTGTTGCCATTGCTTTTGGTGTTTTAGTCATGAAGTCCTTGCCTATGCCTGTGTCCTTAATGGTATCGCCTAGGCTTTCTTCTAGGGTTTTTATGGTGTTAGGTCTTACATTTAAGTCTTTAATCCATCTGGAGTTAATTTTTGTATAAGGTGTAAGGAAGTGGTCCAGCTTAGGCTTTCTGCACCTGGCTAGCCAGTTTTCCCAACATCATTTATTAAACAGGGAATCCTTTCCCCATTGCTTGTTTTTGTCAGTTTTACCAAAGATGAGATGGTTGTAGATGTGTGGCATTACTTCCAAGACCTGTGTTCTGTTCCATTGGTCTGTATCTCTGTTTCAGTACCTGTACCTTGCTGTTTTGATTACTGTAGGCTTGTAGTATAGTTTGAAGTCAGGTAGTTTGATGCTTCCAGCTTTGTTTTTCTTTGCTTAGAATTGTCTTTGCTATGAGGGCTCTTTTTTGATTCCATGTGAAGTTTAAGGTGGTTTTTTCTAGTTCTATGAAAAAGGTCAATGGTAGCTTGATGGGGATAGCATTGAAACCATAAATTACTTTAGGCAGTATGGCCATTTTCACAATATTGATTCTTCCTAACAATGAGCATGGAATGTTTCTCCATGTTTTTGTTCTGTCTTATTTCCTTGAGTGTTGATTTGTAGTTCTCCTTGAAGAAGTCCTTCACATCCCTTGTTACTTGTATTCTTAGGTGTTTTATTCTCTTTGTAGCAATTGTGAATGGGAGTTCGTTCATGAGTTGGCTCTCTGTCTGTTATTGGTGTATAGGAATGCTTATGATTTTTGCATATTGATTTTGTATCCTCAATCTCTTCTGAAGTTGCTTATCATTTTAAGGAGATTTGGGGCTGAGAGGATGGGGTCTTCTAAATATACAACCATATGATCTGCAAATAGAGACAATTTGACTTCCTCTTTTCCTAATTGAATGCTCTTTATTTCTTTTCCTTGCCTGGTTACTCTGGCCAGAACTTTCAGTTCTCTGTTGAATATGAGTGGTGAGAGAGGGTACCCTTGTGCCAGTTTTCAAAGGGAATGCTTCCAGTTTTTGCCCATTCAGCATGATATTGGCTGTGGGTTTGTCATAAATAGCTTTTATTATTTTCTGATATATTTCATTGATACCTAGTTTAGTGAGAGTTTTTTGCATAAAGGCTGTTGAAATTTGTCAAAGGCCTTTTCTGCATCTATTGAGATAATCACGTGGTTCTTGTCTTTGGCTCTGTTTATGTGTTGGATTATGTTTATAGATTTGCATATGTTGTACTAGACTTGCATCCCCAGATGAAGCCAACTTGATGGTGGTGGACAAGCTTTTTGATGTGTTGTTAGATTTGATTTGCCAGTATTTTATTGAAGATTTTCACATCAGTGTTTGTCATGGATATTGGCCTGAAATTTCCTTTTTTAGTTGTGTGTCTGCCAGGTTTTGGTATCAGGATGATATTGGTCTCATAAAAAGAGTTAGGGAGTATTCCCTTTTTTTGTACTGTTTGGAATCATTTCAGAAGCAATGGTACCAGCTCCTCTTTGTACATCTGGTAGAATTCAGCTGTGAACCCCTCTGGTCGTGGACTTTCTTTGGTTGGTAGGCTATTAACTGCTGCCTCAACTTCAGACCTTGTTATTGGTCTACTCAGGGATTCAACATCTTCCTGGTTTAGTCTTGGGAGGTTGTAGGTGTCCAGGAATTTATCCATTTCTTCTAGATTTATTTGTTTTTGTACATAGAGGTGTTTGTAGTAACCTCTCATGATAGTTTGTATTTGTGGATTTGATGGTGATATCCCCTTTATCATTTTTTATTGCCTTTAATCAATTCTTCTCCCTTTTCTTCTTTATTAGTCTGGCTAGCAGTCTATTTTGGTGATCTTCTCAAAACACCAGCTCCTGGATTCATTGATTTTTTTTCCTTTGTTATTGTTTTTATTTGAAAGCATTTAAAATATTTTTCATTTTTAAGGACACTAATGTTATCATTCCACTTGACACAATAAAGCAGCAGTTTTGGTTTCTTTTTTTTTTTTAATTGCATTTTAGGTTTTGGGGTACATGTGAAGAACATGCGAGATTGTTGCATAGGTACACACACATAGCAGTGTGATTTGCTGCCTTCCTCTCCTTCACCTATATCTCCTTCACCATCCCCCCCGTCCCTCCCCTACAGACCGCAGTGTGTAGTGCTCCCCTCCTTGTGTCCATGTGTTCTCATTGTTCAACACCCATCATTGATTTTTTAAAGGGATTTTTGTGTCTTTATCTACTTCAGTTCTGCTCTGATCATAGGTATTTCTTGTCTTCTGCTAGCTTTTGAATTTGTTTTGATCTTGCTCCTCTATAGTAGTTCTTTTAATTGTGATGTTAGGGTGTGGATTTTAGATCTTTCCTTGCTTCTCATGTGGGCATTTAGTGCTATAAATTTGCCTCTAGACACTGCTTTAAATGTGTCCCAGAGATTCTGATACGTTGTGTCTTCATTCTCATTGGTTTCGAAGAACATCTTTATTTCTGACTTCATTTCATTGTTTATGCAGTAGTCATTCATGAGTAGGTTGTTCAGTTTCCAGATGGTTGTGCGGTTTTGAGTGAGTTTCTTAATCCTGAGTTCTAATTTGATTGCACTGTGGTCCGAGAGACCAGTTGTTGTGATTTTCTTTCTTTTGCATTTGCTGAGGAGTGATTTACTTCCAATTATGTGATCAATTTTAGAGTAAGTGTGAGGTAGTGCTGACAAGAATGTATTTTCTGTGGATTTGGGGTGGAGAGTTTTGTAGATGTCTATTAGTTCTGCTTGGTCCAGATCTGAGTTCATGTCCAGGATATTCTTGAACAGGCAGCAATCCTTGCTGTTCTGCAGTCCCCACGGTTGATTCACAGGCAAGCAGGGTCTGGAGTGGACCACCAGCAGACAGGGGCCTGACTATTAAAAGAAAAACTAAAAAACATTGTGTTATTTTTTAAAAGAAAAATATTAATTCGGTAAGTTTATGATGCGTTATTTGGTTTATCCATATTAGTAGAGTAATGACAATTTAGGCTTGGAAAAGATCTTAGAGGTCATCCAATTAGCTTTTCACATTTTATAGAAGAAGCTGAGGGCTTGTAAGTTGTGATTTTCTAGCTATTCCTTTTAAAGCCTATGCCAGCAGACATCACCTGCTCAATGTGAGGGAATGGAAACTGTAATAATAATTTAGGATTTTCTTCTCTCTTTTCTTCCTCCCTTCTTTCCTTCCTTCTTTTTCCCTTTCTCCTCCATTTCTTTCTTCAAGATTTGAAAAGTTGTTCTAATGCTATGCATTCTATATAAAATATATGGTTTAAGTTGTTATTCATAGATAAGATGGAACTACAGTACCATTACTTTTTAATATAGCCCTATATTGAAGGAATGTTAATGGCAGCAGTGGCTGTCTGGGGTGGCCACTGTGAAGACACTGGCTGTAGCGGGGGAGGTGCGGCCAGGACTGCAGGCTCCACAGAGCTGGCGGGAGCTGGGAACAGGTGGAAGCTTTGTCCCCTTCTGAGTTGGCAGAGTGGGAGCCTCACTCCCCAAGCACAGCTGCAGCTTTGGACTCTGACATCCCTGTGCTCTTAGGGGCCTGGCAAGTCCCTCTGTCCCCATAGGCTTAAAAGTGTCTGCTCCCCTGCATCGCCTCTCCCTGCTTCTGGCACTCATTCCAATTTTGGAGCAAAGTTGAGGCCAAGCCTGGCAGCTGTCCCAGCCCTGCCCAGTGTGGATGCGCTCAGGGCAGCGCTGACACAGCAGTCCTCTGCATCTTAGCCCCTTCTGGACCTTGGACTCAACAGAGCAAGGGAGGGAGACTGAGGGGGTGCTGATGGCAGCTCAGCTCAGGCATCCCTCAGCCTGAACAGCCTGGACAACACAAATGGCTGCAGGAGGCAGACAGGCCCTGGGCAGAAAGGGCTGGTCCCCTAATGAAGCTCCATCTTCAAGCCAGAGACAGCCTAAAGCACAAGGCCAGATTGCTAGTTCCAGCAGACTGGATTGAGAACTTAACTGTGCTTTTCTTGGGCCTGCCTATGGATTCCCATGCATGCCCATGGACCAATCAGCTCGCACTTCTTCCATAAAGACCTTGGATTTGGTCAGACTCAGACAGAGGAAAGGAAGACCTGCCTGTGGAGAGGAGCTACCCACTGTCAGTCTTTTCTCTGCTGAAGGCTGCACAGATGCTGGGATGACCTGCCTGTGGTAAGGAGCTACCTACTTTGAGTCTCCTAAGAGCTGTACCATTGCTCATTAAAGCATCTCTTCATCTTGCTCACACTCAAGTTGTCTGCCTACCTCTTTCCTCCTGGATGTGGAACAAGAACTGGGACCTGCTGAATGGTGGGCCTGAAAGAACTGTAACACAAACAGGGTTGAAACAACACGCTGACTTTGTGCTCACTAGTTGCCAGCAAGGAGAAGCCGAGAAGACAGAAGGAGAGAAGAGCTGCAGCCCTTTGGGGATCCCAGACCTAGGAGCTCCTCAAGGCAGAACTGTGACATTCTCTTTTGCAGTACGCCTGGTCTAGCCCCAGCCCTGCAGGAAGTTGACACCTGTGCCAGCACCTACAGCTGCCCACCCTGCTACAGCTGGCATGCCTGTTTTCTGTGCATTGGGGCTAGACTCTTCACTGCTCTGCTCTTGGTTTGCCCTTGACAGGTGTGATATTTGGACCTGTAGCACAGCCTAGCACAGCCTGTCAGGCCAAGTGGAGAGAGTGAGCGCAGTGGACACAAGCAAAACTCAGGCAAAGGTACCACTGGTCACAGACATTTCCAGCTGGTGAAGTGACACCCCAAGGATCCTGTGACAATATAATTAAAAGTACATTTGGAACGATATTATTATTGCCTCATTTCTACATTTTATTTCACTTCTGTGTATCTGACATTCATGTATAATTATTCTTATATAAAGTAGCTTATTTTCAAAATAAAACAACCCCACAAAAATTGGGAATTTTTCTTATACAATGAATTTTAAGTCAACTAGTTGTAGATAGGCCTAGTGTTACAAATATTATAAAACCAAATTTCTTAGCAATAATTTTTTAAGTACTGTTATTCAGAAATGACATACCTTATAGCTGGATTATCTTCATTTAAAGTGTCAGTAAAAGTCACATATGTAGAGAGAAGGCTTCAAACCCCAAATAGTAGCCATTTTCTTGAGCTGAAAGCTTTCACATTAAAAATATTTAATGCTTAAATGCAGACATTATGTTAACCTAGGGAAAATAATATAGGATTTAAAATCCTTATGCGACCTGCTGTAATTGAGCCAAAATACATAAATTGTAGCGTTATTGAATTCAAAGGAGGATTAGATCATTTGGTGTTTCCCTTTCTAAATTTGAACAGTTCCTTACAGCATATTTCCAAACACTGTAAGTCTGGTTTTGAAAGTTTCCCATTTTTCAACACATCCTTAAGAAGTTATTAATGTGGTTGAGCTTCAAAGGCCATCTCTAATAGTGTCACACTAGAAGCTTTCTTTTCTTAACGTGACTCCACTAACTTCTCTACCACATACCCATCTCCAACACTTTCCCTCCTTCCTTCCTCTTTTTCTTCTTGTTCCTTTTTTTCTCCTCCTCTTTTTCCTCCTCTTCCTCCCCCTCCTTTGCCTCCTCCTCCTTCTTCCTCCTTCTCTTCTTCTTTTTTTATCTTTCCTTCCTTCCTTCTTTCTTTTTTCTTCTCCTCTCTCTTCTTCTTCTTTCCTTCTTTGCTCCCCCCTTCCCCTTATTTTTCCTTCTTCCTTCATCTTCTTCCTTATTTTTCTTCTCCTCCTTGTCTTATCTTCATCTTCTTCCCTCCTCCTCCTTCTCCCTCCTCCTCCTCTTTCTTTTTTCCTCCTCCTTCTCTTTCTTCCTCCTCTTCTTTTTTCTTCTTTCCGCCTCCTCCTCCCTCTTCACTGCCACCTCCTTCTTCTTACTCTCCTCCTCCTTCTTCTTGTTCTTCTCCTCCTTCTTCCTCCTCTTCTCCTCCTCCTCCTCCTCCTTCTCTTTCTTCTTTCTTTTTCTTCTTCTACCATGTAAAGTCAGTATAGAGGACACTTAGATAAGTGGTAGAACTTTGACATTGGTGACTGCCTCCCGCTCCCTCTCCAAGTTCAGAGGCTGACAGTAAAGTGTTATCATTTGTTACCCAGTACCTAAAAGTATCTTGTTCTTTTCTTTTTTTTTTTTCCAACTGTAATGTTATCTGAAAGTGATTGGGAGCACTTAAAATTTTATTTATATTTTATATTATATAATGCTCTAGAGGTGGGTTTCCTTTTATTGTATGCACTGTGTTTTCCAAGACCTGTGTGAAAGCAGGGATTGCATCACACCAGCTTGTTTAAAAGAGATATAAGATGTCAGGCTGAATAATTATCCACAGTTAATTTACTTTCTCTAAATTAGTTTAGAGAGCAAAGGAAAACTGGGGTTTATACCTTGAGAGTGCCAAGTCATTGTTTCCATCTAATTGAAATCTAAAATAGTCATTCTGAAAGAGAATTGAAAGGCATTTTTTAAAAATTGGGCAAATATATGAAAAACTATAAACATAATCAGTTGGAAGGCATTTAAAACACATATGTTGATACATGTGAGCCATTGTGTGCTATAATTCGCTCATAACTGCCTGGGTTTCAGGAACTTTGTAGTTGAACATACACATGATTAAATATTAAATTATATAAACTAACAAATACATTAAGAATAATAAATTCTAAAAAAGTTACGTATTGATTATGTCAATACATTTCAGTGTTACCTATATTCTCGAGGTTATTTATATTTATTCCATTTGTATAAGTAGAAACACTGTATTATAGTGAGCTCCTGAGCATCTCTTGTCAGTACCACTTTTAGTGACTTCATTGTGATAGCTTAAAATCAGCAAATGCTACCAAGAAGGTAGCATTTGGCCCCCTGAAAGATGGTTGTTACTTATTTACCATCATACCTCTGTTTACAAGATTATAAAATGTATTTACTTTTAAAAATCCTTAGACACATGCAGTTAAGGAAAAGGGAAGACACCAAATATACATCAAGAATTTTATCAATAGCAGAGGCAACTTGTACAAAATAGACTTGTGTGTTTATGTTGATGCCACTCCACATTTTAACTGAGAATAGCAATTTTATGTTTGAACCGAACTCTGTTATTCTTACACTGCAGCTGAACTCCATTATTGATTTATTTTGCTAATACCCTTCATACTTTTATAATTATGATACAATACAAAATTAAAACCAAATGGGAAAATCAAAAATAAAATGAAAATAAGATGATTAGAAGCAAAATTGTGTATGTCACTGTGTAACTGGAATAAGTTAACTCAGTCATATAAGCATGGATTTGCTTACAAATTTTCTGGAAGAAAAGCAAAAGTGGAACTTAATTATATTGTGTTTTTATCTGAAGAGACATTCATTTTTTTTGGCCACTAAATATAAGACACAGTATATTACATTGGTGATTATGAAACGAGTGTTCAATAACTGTGTTTTAAGTTTCTAGGAACACTAGATTTAAACGTAGTAAATAGACTTTGAATATATGTTTTTTGAATATATAAATTCATGCTCAAACTATTATCTTCTCTGTAAACCAAAAAATGTGACTTTTACATATGGAAGAGATTTCTCTGAGAGAGTGAGAGCTTAGAAAAAGAAAAGAAACCTGTTTTCAACAATATTTATTATCCTGTATGTGCTATAGACTATAAAGATTTTACAAAACAGGTATGTTTCTGCTTTATTAGACCTAAAGCATGAAGAATGTGTTTTATTCTTATTTTCGTAATGATAGAATTGAGATACTTAGGACTTCTGCCAAGATGTCCAAATAGGAATATCTCCGGAATGCAGTTCCCAATGAGAGCGACACAGAAGTCTAGTGATCTCCACATCTCTTACAGAGGTACCAAGTTCAACTTATGAAACTGGTTGGACAGTGGATGTAGCACAAGGAGGGCAAACTGAGGCAGGGTGGGGCACTGCCTCACCAGGAAGTGCAGCGATCCGGAGGGCCCTCCCTCCTACCCAGCAGAAGCCATGGGGGATGTTTCTGACCACTCCAGAGCTCCAGTTTGGATGCTGCACTTTTCCGGCGGTTTTTGCAGCCCACAGAATTGCCTGCCCATAGATGCTGTGGGGTTCCAGGGCAAATTTGGATAGCCGATTCAGCGGGCACTGCAAGCTCCCAGCACAAATCTGAGCAGCCCTTTTGACTGTCGCTTGCAGCTTCTGTGAGACAGAATTGCCCGTATCCATGAGAGAAATGGGGCTGAAGGCGGGGAGCCAGGTGATCTGGCTCCACAGGTCCCACCCCCACAGAGACTAAATCCCACTGGCTTGGGATTTTTGCAGCCAGCAGAGTAGTTTGAGCTTGACCCTGGGGAGAGGGGTGTTCGCCATTACTGAGGCAGCTCTAACCATACCTGTGTAAACAAAAGCACAAAGAAGTTTTCACAGCAGCAGGGGGCAGCCAGCGGCAGCTCAACAATGCCTCTGCAGGCAGACTGTGACTAGACACTCTCCTTGCTGGGCAAGGCATCTCTGAAAAAAAGGCAACAGTCTGTCAGGGACTTACAAATAAAGTCATACCTTCCTAGGACAGAGGACCAGGGAAAAGGAGCGTTTGTGAGTTCAGCTGCAGCAGACTTACACATCCCTGCCTAGCAGCTCTGAAGGGAGCAATGGAGCCCCCAGCACAACACTTGACCTCTGACAAGGGACAGACTGCCTCCTCAAGCGGCTCCCTGACCCCTGTATCTCTCCAAAGAGATACCTCATACAGGAGAGACTGGCTGACATCTGGTGGATACCCTTCTGGAGCGAAGCTTCCACAGGAAGGAACAGGCAGCAATTCTTGCTGTTCTGCAGCCCGTGAGGGTGATTCCCAGGCGAGCAAGATCTGGAGTGACCTCCAGCATTCCTGCAGCAGAGGGGCCTGACTGTTAGAAGGAAGACTAAAAAACAAAAAGACATAGCCTCAACATCAACAAAAAGGACGTCCACTCAGAGACCCCATATGAAAGTCACCAACTTCAAAGCCCAAAGGTAGATAAATCCATGAAGATGGGAAGAAACCAGGGCAAAAAGATGAAAACACCAGAAACCAGAATGCCTCTCTTCCTCCAAGGGATCACAGCTCCTTACCAGCAAGGGAACAAAACTGGATGGAGAATGAGTTTGACAAATTGACAGAGGCAGGCTTCAGAAGGTGGATAATAACAAGCTTCTCTGAACTAAAAGAACATGTTCTAACCCAATGCAAAGAAACCAAGAACGTTGAAAAAGGGTTAGACTCAATGCTAAATAGGATAAGCAGCTTAGAGAAGAACATAAACAACTTGATGGAGCTGAAAAACACAGCACAAGAAGTTTGTGAAGCATACACAAGCTTCAATAGCCAAATCGATCAAGAGAAGAAAGAGACTGAAAATCAACTCAATGAATTAAAATGAGAAGGCAAGATTAGAGAAAAAAGAGTCAAAATAAGTGAATGAAGTCTCCAAGAAATATAGGATTATGTGAAAAGACCTAATCTATATCTGATTGGTGTACCTGAATGTGATGGGAAGAATGAATCCAAGCTGGAAAACCCTATTCAGTATATTGTTCCCTAATGTAGCAAGGCAGGCCAGCATTCAAATCCAGGAAATACAGGGAACACCACAAAAATATTTCTCAAGAAGAGAAACATAAGGCACATAATCATTAGATTCGCCAGGGTTGAAAATGAAGGAAAATATGCTAAGGGCAGCCAGAGAGAAAGATCAGGTTACCCACAAATGGAAGCCCATCAGACTCACAGCAGATCTATCAGCAGAAACCCTACAAGCCAGAAGAGAGTGGGGGGCAATATTCAACATCCTTAAAGTAACGAACTTTCAACCTAGAATTTCACATCCAGCCAAAACTAAGCTTCTTAAGTGAAGGAGAAATAAAATCCTTTATGAAGAAGCAATTGCTGAGAGAGTTTGTCACCACCAGGCCTGCCTTACAAGAGCTCCTGAAAGCAGCACTTAACATGGAAAGGAATAACTAGTACCAGCCACTGCAAAAACATACCAAATGGTAAAGACCATCAACACAAGGAAGAAACTATGTCAACTAATGTGTAAAACAACCAGCTAGTATCCAAATGGCAGGATCAAATTCACACATAACAATATTAATTTTAAATGTAAATGGGCTAAATGCCCTAATCAAAAAGCCACAGACTGGCAAATTGGATAAAGAGTCAAGATCCATAGGTGTGCTATATTCAGGAGACCCATCTCATGTGCAAAGACACACATAGACTCAAAGGAATGGAGTAAGATTTACCAAGCAAATGGAGAGCAAAAAAAAGCAGGAGTTGCATTCCTAGTTTCTGATAAAACAGACTTTAAACCAACAAAGATCAAAGAGACTAAGAAGGGCATTACATAATGATAAAGGGATCAATGCAAAAAGAAGAACTAACTGTCATAAATATATATGCACCCAATACAGAAGCACCCAGATATATAAAGCAAGTTCTTAACAACCTACAAAGAGACTTAGACTTCCACACAATAATAGCAGGAGATGTTAACACTCCACAGTCAATATTAGACAGATCAACAAGACAGAAAATTAACAGGGTTATCTAAAACTTGAACTCAGATCTGGACCAAGTGGACCTAATAGACATTTACAGAACTCTCCACCCCAAATCTACAGAATATATATTCTTCTCAGCATCACATTGCACTTACTCTAAAATTGACCACATAATTGGAAGTAAATCACTCCTTAGCAAATGCAAAAAAAAAAAAAATACAAAAAACGGAAATTGTAACAACCTCTCTCTCAGACCACAGTGCAATCAAATTAGAACTCAGGACTAAGAAACTACACAACTACGTGGAAACTGAACAACTTGCTCCTGAATGACAACTGCATAAATAGTGAAATGAAGGCAGAAATAAAGATGTTCTTCGAAACCAGTAAGAATGAAGACACAACATACCAGAATCTCTGGGACACAATTAAAGCAGTGTCTAGATGGAAATATATAAGCTCTAAATGCCCACATGAGACACGAGGAAAGATATAAATATGACACCCTAATGTCACAGTTAAAATAACTAGAGGAGCAAGATCAAACAAATTCAAAAACTAGCAGAAAACAAGAAATAACTAAGATCAGAACTGAAGGAGATAGAAACACAAAAATCACTTAAAAAAAAACAACACAAAACAAAACAATGAATCCAGGAGCTTTTTTTTTTTTTTTTTTTTTTAAAAGATCAAGAAAATAGATAGACTGTTAGCCAGAGGTAGAAAAAAGAAAAGAGAGAAGAAACAAATAGATGCAATAAAAAATGATAAAGAAGACATCATCACTAATTGCACAGAAATACAGACTACCATCAAAGATTACTGCAAGCATCTCTATGCACATAAACCAGTAAACCTGGAAGAAATGGTTAAATTCCTGGACACTTACACCCTCTCAAGGCTAAACCAGGAAGAAGTTGAATCCCTGAATAGATTAATAACATGGTCTGAAGTTGAAGCAGCAATTAATAGACTACAACAAAAAAAAGTTCAGGTCAAGACAGATTTATAGCCAAATTCTACTAGACGTGCAAAGAGGAGCTGGGGCCATTCCTTCTGAAACTATTGAAAACAATACAAAAAGAGGAAATCCTCCCTAATGCATTTTATGAGACCAACATCATCCTGATACCAAAATCTGGCAGAGACACAACTAAAAAAGAAAATTTCAGGCCAATATCCATGTTGAACTTTGATGCAAAAATCTTCAATAAAGTACTGGCAAACTGAATGCAACAACACATCAGAAAGCTTATCCATCACAATCAAGTGGGTTTCATCCTGGGGTTGCAAGGCTGGTTCAACATACACAAATCTATAAATGTAATCTATTACATAAACAGAACCAAAGACAAAAACCACATGATCATCTCAGTAGATGCAGAGAAGGCCTTGGACAAAATTCAACAGCCCTTTATGCTAAAAACTCTTAGGAAACTAGATGTCATTGGAATGTATCTCAAAATAATAAAAGCTTTCTATGAAAAACCCACATCCAATATCATACTGAATGGACAGAAATTGGAAGCATTCCCTTTGAAAACTGGCACTTGACAAGGATGCCATCTCTCACTGTTCCTATTCAGCATAGTATTAGAATTTCTAGCCAGAGCAATCAGGCAAGAAAAACAAAGAAAGGGTATTCAATTACTAAAAGAGGAAGTCAAATGGTCTCTATTTGCAGATGACATGATTGTATATTTAGAAGACCCCATCATCTCAGGCCAAAATCTCCTTAAGATGATAAGCAACTTCAGCAAAGTCTCAGCATATGAAATCAATGTGCAAAAATCACAAGCATTCCTGTACACCAATAATGGACTCACAGAGAGCCAAATCATGAGCAAACTCCCATTCACAATTGCTACAAAGAGAGTAAAATACCTACAAATACAACTAACAAAGGACACGAAGGACCTCTTCAAGGAGAACTACCAATCAATGCTCAAGGGAATAAGAGAGGAACAAACAGATGGCAAAAACATTCCATGCTCCTGGTTGGGAAGAATCAATATTGTGAAAATGGCCATACTGCCCAAAGTAATTTGTAGATTCAATGCTATCCCCATCAAGCTACCATTGACCTTCTTCAAAGAACTGGAAAAAAACACCTTAAATTTCACAGGGAACCAAAAAAGATCCCGCATAGCCAAGACAATCCTAAGCAAAAATAGCAAAGCTGGAGGCATCATGCTACCTAACTTCAGAGCTATTACAAGGCTATAGTAATCAAAACAGCATGGTACTGGTACCAGAACAGAGATATAAACCAATGGAACAAAACAGAGGCCTTGGAAGTAACGCCACACACCTACGAAC